GAAATTTGACATATGTATGTAGTATGTATATTGTTGTTTTCTATAATATCCGAACAAATTGTTCAGATCGGGGCACTATAGCATATATCAAGCTGCCATACAAACTGATGGATCAATTTCAAAATAATTTAAATTCTTTTGTCCCTGTGAAGGGTATTACAAATTGTGGGCCGAAGTTAACATTTTTCTTTTGTTTTTAATTTTAAAATAATTTTCGATTATGTGAGAAAAAACATAACAATTTTGACATTTACCAAATATACTGTATGTTTTACTTACAAGCGCATATATTTCATTGTTTGCTTTGTGATTTGCAGAAAATGAGTCGCGTTGAACGCGCCGCCTGGATTCTTATGGATCTAATTCAGCCACCAATATCCAAGGGTTACATGATACGTCCGGGTGGCAAATCGCCACCAGAAGTGGTGGATCTTGTTTCAGAGCTGGGCATTTTTGGCGTAATACTGGGTGATGTAGATAATGTGATTTGCAATTACCAAGCAGGTCATATGCTGCGCACGAAACTCTCGACTGCGAACGAGGGCGGTGTTGCAGCGGGACTTGGTGCCTTGGATAGTCCTTATTTACTGGATTAGTGTTTTAATAATGATTTGGCTTTAAAAACTTTCAGTTTTTTCACATTTAATTTTGCAATATTTTAAAATTTTAATTTATATTTTCAAAATTTTCGAATCTTAATCATAATGTAAATCTGAAGCTACTATTTTGCAGAGTTTTTGCGTTTATCCATTTTGATAAAATTTTAAATTTTATTTTTAATTTGTACACCATATCACATTTACCTATCATGTTTGTACATAGTGCTAAATAAAAAAAAAAAAGGAAAACGCAATTTTTAATACAAATCATATGTTAAAAATATATGTATTTGCATTGAGTAGAACATGTCACAGCAATAATCAAAAATATATAAACATCGCCATTTAGAATGATTAAGAAAGAAACAATTAAAACACAGATAAAATTTTGACCTCAGGACATTACTACACATCTTCATATACAAATACATTTCTTCTTCTTCATTAAGGGCCTCTCTGAGACGCGTCGTGGCAGGGTTTTGGTGAGTAGAAAATTTGGCGTTTATACGCTTACTTCTACTACTACTTCTGTTGGTCTGGACAGGCCATTTGATATAGGAATTGTATCATGGTACGAGTTGGGCGGCCCGTCATGCGATCTTTCAACAAATATGGCAGTGTACCGTACTTTGTCAACATACCCACGCCCCGTATATCCAAATGGGCCCAATCGACACAGGGCACAAATTGCTATATAGAAATGAAAATCATACTTTATTACAAAAAATAAAAAAATAGGAGAAAGTCGAAACTTACGTGCAATATTGCCGCTGCCAGGCAAGATGAAGCCGGTCCAGAACCATTGTTGCTGACATCAAAACTAACGTGGTCTGGCGAAAAAAAAATAATAATAAATAAATAAATATTAAACAGTTAGTATAACAGTAAATGTAAACCGCTATTGTTAATCAAGTGATGGTACTCACTCGTAACCAAATATTTATAGTAGTTCCACAATGGTAAGCGCCACATTCGATCGCCGGTTAGTGAGCCAGCTTTTTGGAATTGCTTCCAAATGTAATGTGAATTTGAAAATATGCCCGTAGCTCCACCACCCAACGCCTTTTTAACGCCCTTACCAAGCGTAGCCACATCAACCACCAGACGTGGTTTGTATGTAGTCTGTGCATAGATCAATGGATCAGCCATCACGACAACGCCAGCTTTATCTGTATCCTAGTTAAGGAAGGCAGCATGAAAAATAAAATATTTTACTGTTTGTGGTTTGTCAGTTTCTTACGCGTATCGCCAATGATTTGCCGTTGAGTAACGTGACTACGTCACCTGGCTTGCAAGCCATGCCCGAGGGCATATTCTCGCAAAGTGGTATAACTGCGGAAATATTAATAGGCAACGATAGAGCCGCGGCGGCACGAATGGAAGCGACCACAACAGCGGCACCGGCCATGGCTCCACGGTATTCATCCATGCCTTTGCAAGGACGCAAGCAGAGACCGCCACTGAAATTAGGGAATACATATATTTTAGTATAAAAATTGTTAATAACTTCTTATTTGTTATTATTTTTTTTTATTTCCAATTTCAAGTTCTTTACTTTATTTACTTTATATGCTCATATACCCTTTAGTTATCCACTTTTTACTCACCTATTGAATGTCATACCCTTGCCCAACAACAATATCGGTTTATCTTCGGGCGCTGTGCCACAATAGCTGATTTCCAGTAAGACTGGTGGTTCACACGAACCTTTCGCAATCATTAAAAAAGAGTTCAGATGTTGCTGCTCTATCCACTCCATTGTACGAATTTCCACAGTTACACCGCATGGGCATAACGCATCGACGGTGGCTTGTGCAAATGTGGTTGGAGTCATTTGGTTAGCTGGTGCGTCACTAAGACGACGCGCAAGATTTTGTGCTTCGGCTTTAAACAGACCACGTGTCCAAGCGTCTATGTCGGGTGAGTCGTACAATTCTAATTTGGGAATTATTGTTCGATCTTTTTTCATTTTATTATCTTGATAACGCCAAATCGCCAAAGCACTACCCTCGGCTGCTTGTTCGGGATATTCCATTGAATCCACAAAAACCTCTGAACAGCCTTGCATCTGCAGGCTGCGTGCACCGACACCAGCTGCTACGCGAACATTTTCCTATGTAAAAATGTTCGTGAGTTTATAGAAATATATAATATATATTTTAGTGTGTCTAAATAGAAGTTGGTATTATTTTGAGGTTATATAGTCATTAATTTTTTTTTTTTTATTAAAAGTCATAATTGTTTTCAACCATCTATGCGCTTCCCATGCCGAACTGCTTACTTTGAAAAATCGTTACATCAACGATCATTGTAATTTATTTTTTTTTTATGAAAAGATTTTCCTGTCAATTTTTTTTCAATGACAGCTTAAATCAAAATTTTCAAATGTCAAATTTTCCAAATTGTTTTTAAAGAAAAAAACATATCTATTGTTAAATTGATATCTCACTAACTGTCAGTAATTGAACCCCATCCGCATTATTTATCTTCTTACCATGCCTTCATCCAACATTTCCAACTCATTGAAACCAGCTCCTTCTCGTCCGACACCGACCACTGCTATAGATCGAAATTCCTGATCAATATTGTTGAAAACTTTTCCTCTGCCCAACCTTCCAGATAGATTCGTTCTACGTTCACACGAAAACACAATGGCCACGACATGAATTAGTATTGGTCGCTTGTACGTCATATCATTCGATATGGTGATATTTTCTACTCACTCTTTGATTAACTCAGATACTTTGCCCTGCACACGATCATCGAATTTCTCTCCACTCGATGTTAGCTTTGCCTCCTTCTCGCCCTCCTTCTGATATAGGCCGATCACAAGTCCTTTCTGTATAGTGGTATAATAGAGAGATTTAACATGACATCACAACAAGTGTTTCGAGCGTTGGCTTATTGTATGTATTTCAAACGGTTTAAATTGGTTGGCGCTTACCGTCACACGCGAATCATCGGCGTAACACCTTAGATAGACTTGTTGGAAATTTTTCACATTTCGAAATCTCAGCAGAGATTTTGTTAGCCAATTTGTTATGCGTAGCGAGGACATAGTTTGCAAGTAGTTTTATCAATTTAATTTTAATTATTTCCTTTATGCAAATTTTTATATATAAAACGGTTTTCAGCTTAAAAATTTTCAATAAAAAATAAAATTGAAATTTAGATCTGACTGAATATTTTTCACAGCTTGTTACAGTTCGTTTGAGTGTCTAGAAACAAAGTGCAAATGGTTCTTACTTGAGAGCCAACTATTAAACCGTTTGGATCATAATTGATTGCTTTCGAATGTGCAGTTTTTGTAATTTATTTTTCATATGTAATTACAAAGTGCTCTTGTTTCAGTTTAATTGTATTTTTTCTTGCACTATCATAATATAAGCATTTGATATGACATTTTTTTAAAATCTGTATTCAGGATTTATTCGTTATGCAAATGATTCATAAATTTTATTTGACATTTAGTGGATTAGGATTATTGTATTTAAGATGAATGTCGGAAAACACGAAAAATGTGAGACACATTTCTATATGTACATATATGTACATATGTATGCATGTTCACAAATACGGTTGTTGTTGTTGTTACCGTTATAACGGTTATCAATCCCCGTTAGGTCGCTGCAAGGGTGATATTTACGAAAACATCTTAGCAGGAACTGCTTGGAGAGGGGTTCATTATGCTCTTTAACTGGGAGTATAAACGTCTCACTATGTAGGTGTTTGATGGGAGACATCAAGAGGCATCCTACCATTGCATCCAGGCGACCATATTGATGCGGCGTAATTGAGTACCGGCCGACCGATTGTCTTGTATGTTACTAACAATGTTTCTTTGTCTTTTCCTCATGTGCTGTCGGCCAGCGACTTGAGGATTTTGTTGCGGCTCAGTACCTTGGCGACAATCGCGGTCGTATGGATAGTGAAGGAGCATATACTATCAAAAGTTACACCTAAAACCTTAGGATTATTGCCAGCCGGAATTTTGACGCCATCGACTGCAATATTAAGCTCAAGTCTATACTCCTTCGTCCAGTTCGTAAATATGGTCGCTGTTGATTTGGTGGGGGAAATTTCAAGTTCAAAGTTCTTCGATTCATAAACCGGTCTATTTATTTGCCGAATGTTTATCCCTTCCCATCACTTAAACTCAACTATTCTGAGTATATTTTCGTAAACCGGTGGCCACTGTTTTACAGCTTTCGGTAAAGATAACTTTTTCTATTATTCAAAGTACGAATTTTTAGGTAATCTCAGAAAGCTTGTGTCAAGGTGAGTTCAACTCCCGTCATAGTTCTAGTCTTAACAAAATTAACAAATTAACACTTCAAATAAAAAAATGTATGTGCTAATTGACCTACATCCGTCTTCAAGTATAAATGACTTTGAGGAGTGTAGCTTGTGTATAGGTATTAATTCATACTGACATAATTACTACAATATTTGCAACATTTGTTTAATAACATTATAAAATAGAAACTGATAACTTATAGATTTCATTACGAAATTTTAAAAAGGTTGTAAATACATTGCACCTATGCAGTAAATAACATTTAAAGCTTAATTGCTAAAGCAGTACTTTTTAGCTTAACCATTTTCGGTATGTATCATCCATGAGATGATCGGTAAATTTATCTATGGGACCGATTATTAATGGAATTGAACACAAACCCACTGCGGTGGGTAATATCTTTCCAAAAGCTTTTTTAACTTCCGCTTTACGGATCAAATAGCCAGTCAGCCAAGTTATTCTAAAAGTATTGTAAGAAAGAAAAGTAATATACATACGTAAATCCATAGCAATTTGGGATATTATTCATTTGTACCTATTGATTGTGATGCCGGGAATGATGACAGAGGCGACCATTTGCCATGTGAATACATCACCAGTAACAACGGCTATTTGTTTAGTGTTGCTTCCGCGTTGATGTTCCTTGACTGATTTATCAACAGCATCAGCACATACATAAGCCGTGGCCAGTAAATAGGATGCACGCACCAAATTGCGATGTATAAGTGGGCGGAATGCTTCTCCTACCTCGTTGGAGTATCCTTTGTGAAATATTTGTACGGATGGTAATAATTTTTATAAAATTATAAGTTCATCCATATACCGTTAGCTACAAATTATTCCAAGTTTGAGTGCTCACCTAAATACCGCAATTTGCTATCCCTATACAAGTCGTATTCTTTGCTCATTTTTACCAAATAACAAGAGGTGGCTCTAGTTTAGCGAGTAATTGCATAGTTAATATGTTATATAAGATTTTGAGTTCAAATATTTTTTTACATGTGTAAGAACACACCACTTGTCAACGCAGCATCAATTTTATTATATCGTTCTTATCTCATATTATTTAGTTTGGCTCATTTTCACCCCACTATTGCTTTTAATTTATCATAAACCATAATGATGCTTTGCTTTTGCAAAGTACTTATATCGTTTTTTTCTCTCTTTGTGTCGAGCAAAACAAAGTCGAAATTGGTAATCAAAACAAAAACTATAAAATTCAAACTGACCAGATTATTTTAACAATATTAATATTACTATGTAAATGTATTTTAAATAAGTTTAACCAATTAAAAAGTATTATAAATAAGACGCATATTTTGTTACTTGTTGATTTCACACTATTCTAATTTTAAATAATAAAATAAAATAAATTAAAAATTATCAAATCAATTATAAAATTTTTGAATTAAAAAATTACAAATCGTTTACAAAATTGTATGAATGTGTGTTCATACAACTCTGCAGTCGCCATCAAGCGGCAAAGGCAACAAAATGTACGTTCTCTGGCAATGCAATAAATGTCAAATGCGCAACGAATGAGTGATTATAAGAAAAAGTGCGAAACAACGGTCTGACTGGAGGAATCATCTTTTGTATAAATTCCTTTGAAAAATCTACGTTTCTTATAAAAATTACAGCGTGTATTTAATATATTGCGCCTGCAGTGTTTAGTTGGAATAAAAGTTTAAAAGGTGTGAATATTTTAAAGATTAAAAATATAAAACGAAACAGTGAACCATAGATAACAAACGCTACGAAATTGTGCTACTACATTGAAATGCGAAAATATTTTGGGAATTATACGCGTCGATTAGTCATTACTTATGTTTGTTTTTTCATAAAATCTAAAATTGTTCCTATATATGTATGTTATATAGTATATTTTTTGAATTAAGAAAATGTGTAAAAATCCGCTTCTTAAATGATATTTTGCAAATTAATTCAAATTTGATTATCGATTTGAAGTTGCAAAGTTTTCTATCTCATTACCGTGGCGATTGTGGTTTCATTAGTGATGTCATTATTATGAAGTCAGCTAGGCAGGACTTACATTGCTAGATATAAATCAAAATGTAATAAATACTATATATATTTTTCAGTGACGTGTCAACCATGGCCTCAGGCACGACTTTGCAAAAAGCTATTGATTTGGTGACCAAAGCGACGGAAGAAGACCGCAACAAAAATTATGCTGAGGCTTTACGTCTCTACGAACATGGTGTAGAGTATTTTCTACATGCAATTAAATGTACGAAAGTAAAAGATATTGATATACGGTTAAATGATTTTCTGATTTTGATTTATAGATGAAGCACAAGGTGAGAAAGCCAAGGACTCGATTCGTGCCAAGTGCCTACAGTATTTGGATCGAGCTGAAAAACTTAAAGAATATCTCAAGAAAGGCAAGAAAAAACCAGTAAAGGAGGGTGAATCAAGCTCGAAGTAAGCAACCAAAACTTGGTTAAATATAGATATTATTTCAAATAACACACAAACCTTTGCAGAGATGACAAGGATAAAAAGGATGACAGTGATTCAGATGGCGAAGATCCTGAAAAGAAGAAACTTCAAAGTAAATTAGAAGGCGCAATAGTAATTGAGAAGCCGCATGTGAAATGGTCCGATGTAGCTGGTTTAGATGCTGCAAAAGAGGCCCTTAAAGAGGCAGTTATCTTGCCAATCAAATTCCCACATCTATTCACGGGCAAACGTATACCTTGGAAAGGTATTTTGCTTTTTGGTCCTCCTGGTACTGGCAAATCATATCTTGCCAAAGCTGTTGCCACAGAGGCAAACAATTCAACTTTCTTCTCAGTTTCCAGTTCAGATTTGATGTCGAAATGGTTAGGTGAATCCGAAAAGTTGGTCAAAAATCTCTTCGAATTAGCGCGTCAACATAAACCATCAATTATTTTCATTGATGAAATTGATTCCATGTGCTCGGCACGTTCGGATAATGAAAACGACAGTGTGCGACGCATCAAAACAGAGTTCTTGGTGCAAATGCAAGGTGTTGGCAATGATACAGATGGTATTCTGGTACTTGGTGCCACTAATATACCATGGGTATTGGATTCAGCTATACGTCGACGTTTCGAAAAGCGTATCTACATTCCATTACCGGAGGCTCATGCACGTTTGGTGATGTTTAAGATACATTTGGGTAATACCACACACGTTTTAACCGAGGCTGATCTCAAAGAACTAGCATCAAAAACAGATGGGTAAAGAAATGAAATATATTTAGATGGTAATGATATTTATTAAATGAAAACATTTGCAGTTACTCAGGCGCTGATATTTCTATTGTCGTGCGCGACGCTCTTATGGAACCAGTGCGTAAAGTGCAAACCGCCACACATTTCAAGGTGTTGCTTTAAATGCAATTTCTGTGAACTAATGTAACTAAATTCTGTTTCTCAATATTTATAGAGGGTAACTGGTCCATCACCAACAGATAAGGAAGTTATAGTTGATGACTTGTTGGTGCCCTGCTCGCCTGGTGATGACGGCGCAACTGAAATGTCCTGGATGGATGTGCCTAGTGATAAGTTATTCGAGCCACCAGTTACTATGGTAAAGTCAAACCGAAAAGTACATTGAGTCGAAATTAATTGGTAAATTAAATCCTTTCATTTTTCAGCGCGACATGTTGAAATCATTGTCTCGTACAAAACCCACTGTCAACGAAGATGATCTCGTTAAGCTGCGTAAATTCACCGAAGACTTCGGTCAAGAGGGATAAATTACAGACAAATATCTAAAACAAATTGATTTTATTATAAATATAAGGAATACTGAACGCAAATCGATTAATTGTTGCCTATTTGATAAAAAGGGAGTAAAATCATTTTAAGCCCGAAATTACTAAGTGGCTAAACTTAATTTAAAAATCTTAGAACAACTCGATATATCTAACCATGAAAAACAAATAATACAAATTTTCATGGCAAACATTAATTTTCATTTGTTTTTAATGTACACATTGCATTTTATAAATATTTTGGCATTATAAATGTATGCGACATACTCAAATGCAGAAGAAACGGTCTTTTACGATACGAGGCCAGAAAAATGCTGAATTTTATTTTATAAGAAAAAGGATAGCGCCAATACACAGTAAGCAAGTCAGGTATTTTTTTCTAGAAAGTAACTGGGTTTGCCTATTGGCTGATGGAAATTAAATTTTATATTAAATTGTAACAAAAATATGTTTGTAAAAATATTACATTCTATCGATTTATTTCAAAAAAATAGTATATTAAACAAATTCTTACTCAAAACATATAACAAATAGTTATTAATTGTACTTCACATTGTACATGGTTGGTGTCGTTTGGATAGATGAAAAACGTGCGCCTTAAAAACTGAATCAATCGTTCTCATTACTTTCAATTGTAAGCATTGGCTGTTTAATGTCATAGAAGAGTATCATTTCCTAAGTTAAATTAACATTATAATAAAAAAGTGTTTATCTTGGAACTAAATGTGTATGCTTACGCGACATTTCTCAAGGTTCAAGGTGCAGATGGCTTGTGTAGTCTCTTTGACTGCCTTCACTTCGTCGCTATGCGCTAGCCGCACATGTGGAAAGTTGTCTTCGCCCGTTTCAATCGCAATCAGATTATCACGCGCTAAAAAAGCGATTTGAAAGGCATTCTCTACTGTATTCATAAAATTTTTCGGATCTATAATGAGTTTATAGTAAGGTATGGCGCGCCCGCCGTTGCTGTTTAACATTTGACGCAATTGGTTGCCCACAATATTTAACTTATTGGCACCCTTGTCCTTGCGCTGCAGCTTATCAATGTTTTCAGGACGTTTCTCTTCTGCCTATAAAAATTTTTATAATTGCGAATGTATTTTCTGATAGTTTTACTATACTTTGGTGACCCACCTGTTCGTTCCGCTTTCGTGGTTGTCGTTCTTTTGTCACACGCTCTTTTACTTCAACTCTATACGCGCCGAGCATTGTGGATTTCGCGCGTGCCATTCGCGCTATAGCACAAGCGATCTCTGTGAAGGGCTTCCAATTATCCTCACCTTGTGTGGCCACAGTTTGTCGCTGCAATGGAGATTTATATTAAATGGATAAAAAGTGTTACTTTTTTGAATTAGTTTTGTCTTCTTACGATTGCATTTTGATAGATTTGCTCGCTAAAAGCTCCCATTAATGAACTCTGTTGAAAAACTTTGGACATCAGTTCGTGGTTCATCTTCAGCAATTGCGCGTCACGCATAACTTCGCTGGTGTGCTCAGCGCGATCGGTGACATTGCCCTCGCCATGAATCAGATCCGAACTTTTTACGACCCTCGACAGTTGGTTGAGTGTCTCTTCGATACTCTGTTCTGTCAAACGGGTTTCTGTGGAGCACATAACTCTCGATTATTGCATAAAATTTCATATAGTGTTTAAAGCAGAAAAAATATACACATAAGGCCCTTTACTCTATTTGAATTTTCAGTGAATAATAGTTATGTGTATTGTGTTATATTTTAAGTCGGGGCGCTGCTTACAAGCTTATATTTGGAAATTTATGAAATTTTAGTCACTCAGACTAAATAAAGCTCATATTTTGTCGTGGTAGTATATTTAATATTATAATGACTAGAAAGGTAGTCAAATTCTTCCTGAATACGCATAGCAATGTAAACCTTATTTTATAGCTTGACACGCGAGATTATAAAAGTTTATTTTAAATTCAATCAATTGAAAGTTTGAGGGTTCTAAATTTGGTTAGTTTAAGTTACTAAAATTCTAAATTTAACTAAAAAAGAGGAAAAACTTGAACTCCGGTTGCACAGAAGCTATAATACCCTTCACAAAACAAAATATTCCCAACAAGGATTGGATTTCGATCGATCAGTTTGTATGATAGCTATTTGGTAGAGTGGTTCAATATTGACAGTTCCAACAAATGAGCAGCTTCTGGAGGAGAAAAGGACGTGTTCGTAGTTCGAGTATATAACGACAGACACATGGACAGACCGACGACGATAAATCGACTCACCCTGTCGCACTGATAATTTACATATATGTGACCTGGTCTACGGAAAGGGGGCTTAGGTGTCAAAAATCAATTTTCACTTTTTAGTTGATTCGGATGGAAGATGAGATTTTAACAGCTGTTTCCCAGAAAACTAGTTTGCGCATGTTAGCTCCCTTTTCGTAGACCAGGTCACATATATTGATTTACATATATATACTGAATAAGGTTTCCTTCTGGATGTTACAAAGGTCCTGGTAAACTTAATATGTATATCCTGTTCAGGGTATAAAAATAAAACAGGAAAAAATTAATCTCCTAATATAAGTTGGATAGCTATAAAAATGATGGTACTAAAACATAGGCACGCCATTTGAAAAATGTTAGATTTGTTAAAAGGTCGTGATCCCCGGGTGTACGCCTCTCAAGATGCACTCATTTACTTGTTTAATACAATTCGAATTGCAGGGCTTAGTCCACCGAGGCATTACGGTCTGTTTATTGTTGTGATTTTACCATTTATATTCAACGTTGGTTGGATACGTTATAGAAGTATCCTATCTGTTATGGAGATTCTAAATAGTGTACAAGCAGCTTTGAATACTATTGGAATGCCATTTAAGAGTTTGACATTGGCGTTGTCTCTGCAACGTTTGCAAAGCGTGAAGCCGTTATTAAAGGAATTGGACGCATGTTACGCTGAATTGAAAGATGTGGCCAAAATACGCCGCTGTGCAATTACAGGCAATCGCATTGTATTCGGTTACATTATTTCTTATATGCTGTACGGAACTTTAACTGTTGTATCGGCAGTACTGAGTGGTCTTGCGCCACTTACACTTTGGATACCTTACGTGGATTGGCATAGGTCGATATGGGAATACTGGTTGCAATTGAGTTTTGATGGCGTGGCGCTTTATTTTTCACTGCTTCATCAAGTCATTAATGATTCCTACCCAGCCATATATATTTATATTATACGCACGCAATTACAACTTCTGGCACGCCGTGTAAGTCGTTTCGGAAATGTACTGGATAAAAGTGAGGATGCAAGCTATAATGAGCTTAAGCAATGCATTATTATACACCAGAAAATATTAAGGTTTGCTTGCACATTTAGTGAAATTGAAATATGTATTATATTATAGAAAATAACACAATTGTTTTATGATAGATTGGTGCGTATAGTGCAACCTGTAATATCAGTGACAATGTTTGTTCAGTTCTGCATAGCCGCAGCCATCATTAGTACCACGATGATAAACATATCGATTTTCGGTGATACAACTACCAGGATAACTTCCTTGATCTACCTGTTTTGTGTGTTGTTGCAAATTTGGCCGACCTGTTATAATGCTTCCTATTTGCAAGCGGACTGTGAGAAACTTTCCATGTCTATTTTTCACAGCAATTGGATGACTAAAGGAAAACGTTTCAACAAGCTGCTAATCTATTTTTTGCAACGCACACAAACTGAAATACCATTGTGGGCCTTAAAAATGTTTCCAGTCAATTTGGCTACAAATTTGTCGGTTAGAGACTAATTTAAGACTATTTATTATTTTTTAAAACTAAAAAATTTTCAGATTGCAAAGTTTTCCTTCAGCCTCTATACATTCATACAACAGATGGGACTGGGCGCTCATCTAAATAACTGAACAGTTTTCACATTTTATATAGGCTTGAGATATATAGTATCTATGTACATATATGTGCATAAAAATAAAAACGAATTTTCGAATTCTAGATAAGTTTATTTTTTTGTAGATTAAAGAAGAAAAAAACGATAACATGGTTGAAACGAAGCTATAATACTCTTCAAAAATAGAGTTTTTTATGAAAAAGTTTTCCAAACCTGAATTTGATTTAACCAGTCACTTGATATGGTATCGCTGTTTTAGACAATAATCCATGCCAAATGTCGTGAAGATATCCTGTCAAATTAGGAAGCGTTTCATACGACATGATTTAGATCGATATCTCAAAAAGTGAGGGACTTGTTCGGGTATACACGGAAAGACATAACTAAATCGTCTCAGCTTACTATGCTTATCATTTAWATTTATTTATTTTTCGATCTTTCCTTCTAAGTGTAACAAACTTGATAAATCCTTTTCAGGGTATAGAAATAAGTAATTGCAGCTATATTTTTGACACTGCCTTAATCAAATTTGTATTGATCTGCTCGTTGCTATCGAGGAATTATTACAGTTCAAAACCATGTTGTCTCATACATATAAAAAAAGTTATATTTTTGAATTCTCTTCTTGTATAAAATTTGTATTTGGTCTTGTTTTGTTTGGCTATCAGCGACTTACGGATTTCCCTATTCGTGTCTATCAAATCCTTCAGGCGCTGTTTTCGATCCAGCGCCTGAGTACAATTTAATTCATCTGCCGTACTATTCATAGCTCACTTTTATTATAAACGTATTAATTATTTTAAAAATTAACTTAAAAGAGAAATGTAAACAAAAATAATGTCAGCGCGCAAAAATAACAAACGTTTTAGCAATATATTGGCGACAGTGCTGCCAAGTTTGCAGAAGCTGTCTAATTTTACAAATAAGTCAAAGTGCTATGCGGATATCATAACATTATTTAATAAATTGTACAAAACTTAATAGTAAAAAAATGATTTCCTGATTTTTCTTTTTAATTTAAAAATACAAAATTAGGAAATATACTTCATTGAGTTTCTAACAAAAGAAATCTTTGTAAAATAAAATATAATAAATATATTTATTGCACAATATACCCAATATGGCAGCTTGCTTATTTCTTTCTGCAACAGCTGATTTTTCGCTGCAGTTTAAATATAAGTACTAATTTGATTTTGTTTGTGAAAGTGAATTTATTTTATTAAACATAAGTGCTTTTATATATTGTACATATGTGTACAATACTATGTCGCAATCGTTAAGTCCCGCAGCAAATTATTTTAGGAATCTTCGCATGTTGTTGATACTAAATAAAAATTGATAATAAATAATTAATACTTGCTGCTGTTAGTAAAAACATAATTGCAAGTTAGCTGCATTGTTAAAGCAGTAAAAATTACACTATTATACTGGCAAAAAATGTATAGAAATGGCAGATTTTGTGATTTTTAAAAAAGCTACAACAGAATAACGGTTTAAAGTATTATCTTATATTTAACGCAAAATACAAAAATTTTGTTTATGGAATTTCGGCAATTGTCCCTAGCCCTACCATAATTCTAAATGACTTGAAGGAAGATTACATTATTACAAGTAGTCATTCAAACTGTGAAGATGGAAACCTCAGTGCTCATTAACATGTGTGCGTGTGTGCATACGTGTTGCATACAAGCTGTTCGTGTAAATAAAAGACTCAGGCGACGAACTTCAGGCAATATTCAGCCGTATTTTACAAACTCTATTGCGTGAAAAACACCAAAGAGAGATAATAAAGAGAAAATCTCCAATTACAAAAAATGATAATGTTTTAAAAGAGCATAAAATAAGCTTTAACAAAAGGCGATGTACACTTTTAAACTACTTATGTAGTTTTAGCTAAGTTTTCTGCAGCTCAAACAAATAGTTGCCAAACAAAAGCCAAAGCGGTCGGTTCGTCTACTTTAACAAGTTCGCGCGCTTCACTCTGTATAACGCGGTCTCGTTAACGTTGTATTAAAATCGCGAGTGTTCAAACGGTGTGTCGCAGTGAGTAACAAACGGGGAAACAACGAAAAGCTTCGAAACGAATGAAAAGGTGATAAAGAGTAATGACAAAATTTTGTTGCAAAATTTTTAAGTTTGCTTATTTTATATTGTTTTCATTTGTTGCGTTCACTGAATTGAAATTGAAATGATGATGAGAAAAAGTTGATTAAGAAATACCCATCCACTATCATTGCTAAAGTTAAGCAAAATCTACTCAAGTTCATTATGTTTTAAAATTCATTGCGCATAAAAAGTGAATCTAAGTTTTTATGAGATTTCTTTTGATGTAAACAAGAATTTTGGTGTCCAAAAATTTGCAGACGACTTTCACGTTCGTTTTGCAGCAAATATACATACATACGTACTTATATGTATGTTTGTACATACATAAATAAGTTGTTGATTAAAGCGCGTACATTTGTTTGCCTGTACATCGGTCAAGGTACTGTGGCTCTATTCAGCAGTTGGGCGCTTGCTGTGTGTAAGGTGAGTACAAATTGAAATAAGTAAAAATGCTATTAAATGTGTATGACAAAATAGAGAATTAAAAATAAAGCAAAGTTTTGATATATCAGTGTTTGCTAAAATAATGTGTCTAAAAAGGGCGCAGCAGAATTTTCATGTTATAGAGACAATAGATTTGTTAAAAAAAATTTTATTACTTAGTTAGAGACTATAGAAAACATTTTTTTAATAAAAAAGCTTTAAATATATTAAAGAAAATGTATATATATTTTTTTAATTCGGCGGTATATTTTTATGTAACGACTTTTGCTTCTCCACTGACCCAGTTAAAATGTTGTACTGCAAATCCATTGAAAGAAAGGCGATGGTAACACTGTGTCACCCTAATATCTCAGCGCTGTTGTCCTTCTGCGCATTTTATAAACAAATTGTGTAATTTTGTGTTGATTTTTCACACTTTACCTATAATATGAAATATAAACAATGAAAAACAAATCATCGATTAAGGTAAAAAAAAGTCTTCGAGTTTGTAAAAAGCAGCACCACCGATATTAAGGAGAAAACCTTCAAGCCATCTTAATACTTACATACACACATATGTAGAAACTTTTTGCTTGTGTGCTTATGCCCTGCAATTCATTTGTTTACACACATACATATTTCCTTCGCATTTTGCTAAGTCATCAAATATAGCGCGCTGTGTGTTACTTCGACTTACTGCCATGCTTTTGGCTTTATTTACATATCTATTTTTCTGTTTTTGCAAAAAAACATTTCTGTCACCAATTATACATGCATGTATATGTATGTAGGTGTGCTTTTGCATCACTATATTTGACTTTAGTGCTATGTAATTATTTGTGCAGCTATTTATTTTATGTCTTTATATTTGTTTTTGAAATTTTTGCGAAATAATTTTTTTTATTTAAGTTAGAAGAAGGTTTATTGGGACTTGAATTTAGCATGTCTGGTTTACAAACCAAAACTCAAATGCATTAAATATTTTAAATATAAAAAATTTGATTTGCACGGTAATTACTTATCCAATGGTTTGCCGGCCAGCTCATTGCCGGTTACCCCTTTCTGCCCCGGTACCCAGATCAGGTGTAAACGGCCTTCCTATACACTCATTCACTAATAGCGATTTGATTTCATAAGCCAAGATCGCTTTCAGTGCCGCTTGACTATCGCTTCTTACCCTCTTCACTAAAGGCCGTCATTTGTTGAAACGACCTTATCTTATCTTTGTCAAACCCAAACCTTCATCTGTATACTCAAGCCGCCAGATTACTTTCGATGCCAAGAAAGGCGCATATCGCAGCCAATTTGTAGCGAATTCTGCTCCTTTTTATTCCATAGGAGCAGTACCTAACAAGCTGCTTATATTTCTCTCAGTTGTCCGTACGTTTGGCTTGGTTGAAAAGCCTGCAAACTGACTGCCTCAGCACTGAGCTGATTAGAACGGCAATACGCAGAAAAAAATCTTTTCTTCTTTTATGTTTTCTTTTAGTTTTCTTCTCGGTATTTAATCTACTTATTTATTATTTAGACTAAAAAGAGTCATTTAATGATTCCAATTATGGGCGGTTAGTCATAAAACCACGACAGAAAAGCTTTAAGTTACCTTCAAAGTACACCAGTCACTGAGTCACACCATTCCACTTAAGTAACCTAACTATATACATACAAGCATATATGAACATTTATATTAAATTAAGCCACTAATAATATAATTCTGCTCCTCGCTTTAAAGTTTACGCCGCTGAATAAACAATTTAACAATTTTATTACAATTTTCTACACACTTGAATACAACAATTAAACATTATTTGCGATTGAGCGTGTGTTAGTATTTATATAGTTAAGTATATAGTATATCTACATCCATATTACTAATAAGAGGAAAACGACAAGCCAATGCCAGGGACTTGCCAATTACGGAAAAGTGTTAAATAATTCGCCTATAAAACTGGGTAAAGAGGAAGCAAACATCGCACTTGCGGCGGTGTGCATGTGTATGTGCTACAAACACGGTTTATATGGCGTATGCAATGCATGGTTGGATGTCTGTGTTACTTATATAACAAACTAAAAATTATTTACTTGGCACACTTCTTTAAAATTGATTTTTTGCCGGAAATACACCAAGCAACTGATTGAGATATGGATTACTACAAGCACACATACACATATATACATTCGACATATAAACGAAAGCGAAGGGGAAGCAAAGTAAAGGTTGTGTATTTTTGGTTAATAACAAAAATTAGTGTAACCACAGTAGTCGAGAATCAAGGTCTAAGAAAAAGCATTACAACGCAACTCAAAGCGAGTATAAATGCTCAGAAGCATGCTAAATTTGGTAATAATTAAATTCTAAGTAAAGGGTGTTTTTTTTAGACATGTGGCTTTCAAACTTTCATAATTTGGTGTTATGGCCATGAATTTGGCTTTATTATAAAAATAAGAGTTTGCCATTATATATAATAATTTCGGGCAAGTGACCATGGCGGTTGGCTCGAATGAATGCTAGAGGCCCAATTTTCGACTACTTTTAGCAGAATTGGAGCGGTATCTTAGCAAAATCGCTTAGATAAGGAACTTCATATAATCCTACAAAAAGTATGCCACAACAGGACCACGATGTGAGATAATGCATTCATGAAAAGTTTCCTTCAATAAATTGATTGTTTCCTTGACTGCATAATGTACCGCCATCTTGTTACAACCAAATTTCGATCATATCAACCTCCCTCAATTCAGATACAAAAAAGTCATGCTCTATAGCAATTCTCCATTGACTGTCACATTTTGGTCGGTTTCATTTTTGAAGAAACATGGTCCAATAATTCTTTAGAGCACATCATACAGTGATTTTTTTTACTATATAACGGAGTCTCAACAATGGCTGGCCTAGTATAATTACTCCAAGTGCGATGACTTGGCTTATTAGCGGTCCGATTCAATCAAAAGTGAGCTTCATCGCCGACCAAAATTTTCTTCTGAAAATCGATATTACTTTTTTTAAGTAAGCGGACACTGTGCATTAACACATAGTTTACATTTTGATAATATCTTATTCTTATAGCTGAATCGATAAAAATAAATTCGCGGATAATATATGGGCAACTTTGTACACACATAACTTTCTCAATAAAACACTATACTCATATAAAATGGCGTCCGATTCGTACGTACACCTTTCTACAAATAGTGTTAATTATATTTAAACAGAAGCCGATTTACGTCATTCGGGAAGCCAGGGTCGTTCTAACGGACAACTGTCGACCGTCTTTGGCTGGAGTAAAATGTCTGATTAACTAAGCCCGACTGCCGTACAAACGAATGCAAACTTCAATCGTTTGCGCTTGCTGTGTCTTCATATTTTGAAGCTCTCGGGTTTAATCTTTTCCGTAAAGAACACCACGACGTTTGAACTTATCTCTGAGCAATTACGAGTGGTTAGGTTCTTTTATTACAAAAATCAATGAATCTTACCGTGCGATCCTTTCCAATTCCAACGGATATGCTGGGATCAGATTTTGATTTTGATAAAAAAATTGAACGCCTTACAATTTTTGCCAAGTTATTTCCTTACGCCACGGCTTAAAACATTTTCGAGAAATAAAAAATGTTAACGCTTTTGGAACGGGTGTTGGACTTTCGAATTTTATTATAGCTCACTAACACTCCGATAAATGTCATGGGCTACATAAAGACGCCTGAACTTTTTATTACAATTTTGATTTATTTCTTCTTACGGAATTGTTGAAACCCTTTCTTTGCTTTTACTTGTTGTCGAGAGTTTTTTTAATCGAAGCGCCGAAATGTAGGCAACAATTCTTCAAGAAACTCAAATTTTTGTAGAGAAATGGTGCCCATCGAAAATAGCTGCCGAGCCATGTAATTGTCGAATAAATTTTACTGGGTTTTGCCTTCGCGTTGCCAACTATTAAAATTGATGGGAAATTTAACTGTTTTTCATAGTCCTTCATTCTGCCTAAGCACAGATTTTTTTCTGTTTGATCCTCTATAAATATAAATTATAATTTAACAACATTTAAATTGTTAAAATATAAATATTGATATTAAAATAAAGTTTTTTTTTATAACCTTGAAACGTCTCAAATACAAATTTTTTATAGCCTTACAATTTACGTTTTAGTTTTTTTTTTTGTTTTGCAATTTGTTTGTACCTTAACAGCACATTTACTTATTGTCTATTAATATTAAGACAGATTGTAAATTTAACTTGAATAAAAAAAAAAAAGAAAAAAAGTTTTAGTAAAATTATTTTAACAGCATATTGAGTTTAATAAAAAATATCAATATTTTTAATTTCACGGATTCCGAGTTCGGTGTCGAATTGAAAGTGGGTTCTTTTGTGAAGTCCTCATCTACATATGTTTTTATGGAAATTTTAATTCAATACCATATGCAGAAATTTACATTAGCAATGCTGAATACATACATATAAACACATTCATAGCGATAATAATGATATGGAAAAAAAACATGCTGACCATCAGCATCCGTTCCGTTCGTGCGTCCATGCAACACACTTGACCATGAAGCATCACTTAA